CCCCTGAGCCCTGGCCAAACACCAGAGCATGTAGCCACTTATATCCATTCCTTTCCACTTTCCCCCAGTTCTGTGTTTGCCCTTCACTCCCTTGGCGCCCCCACCACAGGGACCTTTGGACCCTAACCGTTTCCCTCACTTGGCTCAGCACCAGATTTTTATCCACGGCATTAGGGGTAGTCATGAAAAGAATTTTGACCTGAGAGAGCCTCGGTTTGAAAATTCTGGTCGTAACTATCTTTCTCCTTCCAAGTCCTCTGCTTCTTCTGCTTAGTTGGGCTCATAATGCTCGGTAATAGATAATATTTACTCAACACCTGCTATGTTTTAGGGTCTGAGCAAAGAACTTTATAAGTTTTCTCCTCCAACAACCCTACAAAGATTTTTTCAAAATCTCCATAATCTAGTGAACCAAGTAAGGCTCAAAGAGGTCAGCTGCTTGCCCAGAGTCACCCTGGTAATAAGATGTAGTCTGAATTCAAACCCCATCTGGTCCAGAGACTGTGTGTTAACCGTGAACGTAAAGAGATGATTCTTGGGTTGAGCATCCAGTCCATACATGGTAGCCCCTAATATTTCCAAGAGTCTTTCATGTTTAATCTGTTTTATCCGGTGTTTCCGAGTAGCAGAAGAGTGTTTTAGGTAATCAACTTTAGGTACTGGGGTAAATGCAAGAAAACCTCAGTATCCAGGGCTGCTGTTGTGAAAAAGTGGTGGGCAAACCATGTGGCTGAATGTAGTAGTCATTGGAAAGCATGTTTATGAGAATTTTCAGTGATCTGAGAAAAGCTTATAACAAAGTGATCAAACTGATGGTCTGCAGACTACGAGTTTAACTCTTGGAAAACTATGTTTGACGTGCTCAACATTAATTAACCAGTAAATATCTTTTCTACTAATTTGTTCTTCAGACACTCCAACCAGGGACTCCTTGAGGGCTGTCAGTAGGCATTTTATGTCCTTATACTTTCCACAGGACCAAAAGTCTGTGCCTACTGATGATGCCCAGTAAATACTTACCAATTTTAATGAATGAATGAATGAAGGATCGAGGAAAACTTAGAATTGGTTAGATCCTCATCTTGAACAGACAAGGTTCAGTTTAGGGTGCCATTTTTTAGGAAGGAAATTAATATTTTTTATTCCTGGATGCTTCTTGGTTCAGATTACAGGCAACAGAAAGGCAGAGGCGGGGAGGTGGTTAATCCCCACGGCAGCGGCTTGAAGCTGTGACTGCTGCGGGTAGATCACCCCAGGCACTTCTTGCTCTCTGCCTGTGATGAAGTTGGGTCTGATGCTAGTGAAATTTATTATATCTTATTTACTTTTGCTCTCCTATAGAGACTGTAACTCTCATGCAAACCTAAATTTTAAATCTAAATATTTGCTTGCTTTCTCCATGCAAGGGAAAGCATAGAACAATGTTTATTTTCAGCTGGAGTCACTGTGTCATCACTTTCTACCTGGAATGAGATATGCAAGTGATTCTAAGGAAGGGAGGTACCCTGCACAATGTTGGCATGCAGGAAAGCTTTTAAAACTGTCTCCTTAATATTTGCATTCGGCTTGTACTTTCCAAAGCACAACCACAACCACTCCTCAGTCTACCAGGAGTTATTACCTTGTTTCACAGACAAGAAACTAAGGTCCAGAGATGTTAAGTGACTACTCAAGTCAGAAAGCAAGTCAGTGTTAGGGTTAAGACCATCACCTCAAATTTCTACCTGCAGGTTTGTGGATACCTGACACCAGTTGTTTTGTATAACACTTGCTATGCAGTGCCGAGTGCCTTCTATGTCATCTCCCTCCATCCTTTCAGCTCTCTGTCACAGAACACACACCCTCCTCTGAGTGGTCTCTCCAACCTCCTCTCAGGCCACTGTCCACCACGTGGCCGCTCCTGGGAGACACCAGGCTTTACCTA